TGAGATCATGTTCCTTCAATTTGCATTTCCCTAATAAGGAGCCCTAGTGGTACAATAGGAGCTCTGGTAGCATAGTGCCTAAGGCACTTGACTGCTAACCAGAAGGCTGGTGGTTCAAATCCACCAGCCACACCTGGGAAGGAAGATTGGGCAATCTGCTTCCGTAGTGATACTGCCTCGGAAACCCAAGGAGGGGTCGCTATGAGTTGGGTCCAACTTTATGGCACATAACAACAGCAACAATGGTACAATGGTTAAGTATTTAGTTGCTAACTGAAAGGTTGGCAGTTTCAACACACCCACCACTCTGCAGGACAAAGACCTGGCAATTTGCTTCACTAAAGATTCTTGTTGTTGGGTGCCTGCCATCCAATCAACTTTGGACTCCTAGTGACTCCATGGGACAGAGTAGAACTGTACCACAGGGTTTTCTAAGATGTAATCTTAGTTTGTACAATATTTCTTCTAGTCTGTTGTTTGTTGTACACAATGTATCCCTGCACATAAAAATTTTAAAACATGAGGGAGCCTGGCTCTTTCATCCGTCACTCAGATCTATGGCCTGATATCTGGTTGGCAAGGTGGCCATCTTCTGTCTCTTTCTGGGCAACCGGATGATACAAGTTAACCCTGGTGACCACAACAGGAAGCTGTAAATTGCAGTCACAGAGGACTCCCTTTTATTTATTTCTGTGGAAGACAGTTCTTAAAGGCACAGGCATTGCAGAGTGCTATCTTTTTTTTTTTTTTACCCCCTCTGAACATTATATTGCAGTTTAGGTGAAAGTTCACAGAGTAAATTAGTTTCCTATTCAATAACTCACACGCATTTTGTTTCATGGCATTAGATGTAATCCCCTCAATGTAACAGCACTCTTCCCACTTTCCTGCCTGGGTTCCTCATTTCCATTGTCTTTCTCGCCCCTCCTTGCCTTTGTTTTTGCAAGTCTTCCATCATTAAAATTTTTGATCAAGCCCTCTTATATATCAGCATTTGTTTTATGTTTCAGTATGTTGTTTAGTGCTCTGTTGCTTAGAAATTTTTGTCCTCATTGTACCCTCGACTAGGTAATGATATTAAAACAAAACCAAAAATCTTTTATCCTTTGTACTTTTTGACTTAAATTCTACTTTTTAAATTTTGTCACTGCTCTTTTTTGCCTTCCTGATACTTTTTAAAATAGAGTTTTAAAATCTTTCTCACGAATTTTATTTTATTTTAAATATCTTATAGTTAGAAATTTTTGTTTCTACTATATTTAGAAGATTTTGTTTTTCAAAGGGGAAATGTAAGCCATTTGTATTTGCTGCCATACTTACGAGTTTGATTTTGCTTTTTGTGTTCATTCTCTTTTACTTATTTTAAAATTCTAAGGGCTGGGAACTCAACGCTGAACAAAATCAACTCCCTTCTTGCTCTACTGAAATTGAGTTCTTGCAGGAATAATAGAAAGTTTCCTTGTCTTCTTGTTTCACTCACCTCTCTCATGTTATAAGGACTGTATGGTTTTGATATTTTGATTGTCTTTATAATTTTGAAGCTACATATTTTGATTTTATCCTAATAGAGAAAATAATTTTTTCTTTATTTTTGATGTTAAGACTATGTGCTATTTATGTTTAAGCATACATAGTTTTTTCTTACTTCAGCCCCAATGTTCTTGTTTTAGTGTTAAAAGCTATTGTTTTATATGAAGCTTATTATTCTTTTATTTATTTATTTTTATTGTGATTTGGGTGAAGATTTACAGAGCAAATTCAGTTTCCATGCAGCAGTTCACATACACTTTGTCTCATGACATTGACCACAATTTACCACAATGCAACAGCTCCTCTCCCACTTCCTCCCGATAATTACCTCTTCCCTGTGTCCATCCCTCCATGCCCTCTGGCCCCCTGAGCTGTCTCCTGGTGCATAAGCAGCCCTCTTTCTCCCATGATTTATCTCTCCAAGGAGTGTATCTACCTCAGGTAAATGTTCAGTTCATATGCCTGTCCTTTGCTTGGCTGGAAGCCACAGGTGTGGGTTCAATTCCAGACCTGAAGGGCAGCTAGGGGCCATAGTCTCAGTGGTTCCACCAAGCTCTATCAGACCGGCAAACCTGGTCCCCCCAACACACACTTTTTTTTTCTCTCCAAATGATTTTGAGTTTTGTCCACATTGTTCTCCCTCTCTATCCAGGATCTCCTACATAGATCCCCTTCCAAGTGGTTGACATTGGTAGCCAGGCACCATCTAGTTCTTCT